GCCACTTTCGCACTTTCAGGGATATGTCTGATTGCACACGGCATTATCTACCACCATTTATGAGGTTCGTCGGTTTGCCTCAGAAAGAAAAGCTGGAGCGATTGCAAATAATGAAGCGTTATGATGCGGATAATTTAGGTTGTATCGCATGATTTAGAATCTATCGTACGCTCTTAAATTCAGTTAATCGGGCGGAACGTTAACAGACATTAATAACGCGATAGACCGTATAACATTAGCTATTGATCATGTAATTAACTACTCTTAATTAGCAAGTCACCGTTGTTTTCCAGGATAGCGTAGTTTCACGGCTTTTAATATGAAAATATAAATGAAAATTTATAACTTCATATTTAAAATTAATTAACGCTGCAAGCAATTCTTGGCATCACTTGCACCGACAGCTCCTGTTAACTTTTGCGCTTAGTAATTCGTTAATACACACACACACATACCACGCGTGCGCATGCGCGTGTGCACATATTTTCTAGATTATAATTAACTATAAGCACTTTAATTAGTTAACTGATTTCATTACAATTATATCTTATAAGGGAGTATAACCAAGTTTACTCAACATAGAATACAATTTTAATAAGCTATGCGATAAAATATTTAACATCTTAAACTATTTTTTTAATACATGTCTTTAATGTTTTAAATTCAGAAAGAAAAAAATACAATTTTTTTAAGAGAGAACTTTACTTGCTTAAAGTGCGACAAAACACTTACAAAATAATACGTATCTTTTATTTTTGTATATATTTTAACTTATCCAAAGTTTATTAAAATTGGACAATTGGTTGTGTTCTCTTATTACAGTTATTTCGATAAGCGTACAAGTCCACCGTTTTTATTGGTTAATTACACAAAATTTAATTGTGCATCGACATTTTCGTCGAAGTGAAATTAGCCAAGGATCAATAATGCGAAAGAACATAGCTTCGATTGTTCTGTAGATAAAGAAGGAAGATCTGCTCGTGATTAACACCTACGTTACCGTATATAACGTTGATTGTGCCAGCCCTTTACAACCCCTCACTGTATTGTTTCGCGACTCTCCATTGCGGTAACGGTGCAATAATTTTCCCGAACTTTCTCGGCTGGCATCCTCTTCTTCGGGATTTAACCCCTGGAGCGAGTACGGTCGACCGGCGCGTCTCCTTTCCGGCCAGCACGATTTAATAGAATTTTATCGAGTCAGGGCCGTTGAATCTGCTCGCATTAAACCTATGAGTGCGACGCGACTCGCGCTGTCTCGCACCTGGCGTCCCGCCAGCGTTACGTAATGCATTAATTCATCGGGCACAAGAGATTTGCATGCGTTATAGTGTATGAACGCCCGCAGGTAGTGGAGCTAAGTTTCGCGAGAGGAAAGACGAAGATGAGAGAGAGAGAGAGAGAGAGAACATGAGCAAAAGCAAACTTTATTGAGTCGGATCACCGACCGGACAAATAGAGATGTATTTTCCTAGGAGGCAGCGGAATTTCTATCAACGCGCAGAACCCGGTTTAACCTAGTATGCATTGCACATAAAATGGTACAAAAATGCTTGCGCAATGAAAAAATTATAAAACTATTATAACAGCTAAACTTGGCTAGTCTCATATTTTATATTACGCTGTAAATTTATAATTTAGCATAAATAGATAGATAAACACAAAATTTTAATTTCTTAATCATTTACAAAAAAATTTATTATTTAGAATAATATGAATGTGACGTAACAAGAGTAACAAGAAAGTAGAATTTGATTATCTAAGAAAAATGAACGGCTCATCAGTTTGTTATGTGCTAAATTATGCCTCGTGGGAGAAACGCTTCTTACGAATCATATTGACGTGACACAAATCTGCTATGTTTTTGTAAAACTCTGATTGGGCGGTTTTAGTGAAAAGGATTTCTCGTTAAAGTATGAGAGGGCTATAGCGGAAGTATCTACCCCAGCATATTGAGGCAGGAGAGGCCCGGAACTACGGTCATCGATCCAGCTAACGATATCATGTCACGCGAGTTAACGATACTTGATATAAAAAATGCGAAAAAAGCTGTAACGATAGCTGCAATCGAGCTTGAAAAATGTATCTCAAGCAACTAAGTGAAAAAGCAGTTTTGTGTAGAATTAGAGTTATAAATTAGTTAAAGTTCATAAATGATATAAAAATTTGTATGACGTCATCACGTTTTAGATAATACTAATTGTAAGTACTAATTGTTATAAACAGTAGTGATTTTAAATTAATTTTAACCTGATGTTACTAATTTTTATTTGTATTTTTAATATTGAAAATGACTCAAAGCGAAGCCGAAACATTCATACTTTTTATAATAACTAAATAATCGAATATAATTTTATATGATTACAATTTTTTCTGCGGTTAACTCTCATAATTAGCTCAATCATTTACATTTTTATAATTATTTTTTTTAATTAATTTTTTAAAATATATTTAATATTTAATAAATATTAACAGTCACAGCTCTCGATGTCAAAACAATAAAAGGGTAAAACCAAGAGCAATTCGAGAGTTTTTATGTAGAATTGTCGATAACTCTTGAATTGCCCTTGGTTTTACCCTTTTATTAATATTTAATGTTAAAATATATCAATAGATCCATTTTCATGTAATTACAGCAAGATATTAAAAATTAAAAGATTTCAGGAATTGATGAACTTAAATATACTTAATTTATATGATATAAGACAGAATTAGATAACGTATAATTGAAATCTGCGCAAAATATAAATTGAGCTTTGACAAGGATTTAATCGTAGATTTAATCGTTAATAAATATTTATCTTTTACAGGTGTTAAAATTAAAAAAAGGTTTACTAAAATTATGTCGTTAAAGAAAGATTTAAGAGTTATAAAATGACGGATCATCTTAGAAATCCACACAGCTTTCGGATAAGGAGCGATTATTATCAAACTGGAGAAATCGTCATAAAGCTAATCGGTCAAAGTTCATCTCGGGTCGCGCGTGCATTTATCCTGACTTTCAATGCAAAATGACCTTTTCTTTCAGCGCTGCTTTCCGTTTCTCGATCCAAAGCACGGTTTCCGCTGTCCGGAAGAGCACCGTTTGCAACGCAGAAAGCCGCTGTGTCCGAAAGATCTGTGGTTTCTTCTTCGATAATTGCCGCAATTACCGCTAAAGACGTAAAGCCACCGGGAAATCAACGCGCGCGCGCGCGCGCGTTGAATTTCAGCACCATCAAAATGCTGATAATGATTACGCCGATGACCTCACCGTGCATTTCAATTCCTTGATGTCAATGTGAATGACGATGTTAACGGCAGAATTGCGTAATGTTTTTCTTTCAAACCGAAGTTTATCATTTTATCAAAAGAAAAAAATCTTAATTTTTCCTGATCTCTTTTCTTTGAAATATCTGTAACATATTTGTAGTTAACGAACTCATTTGATGATTTTTGTTTCTCGCATTAAGATTCATAAATTGATTTTACTCAGTTTAATACTTTCTATTTTGTTATTATCCAAGAATCTCAATAGACACAGTTTACATAATTGCACGTAGTGTACTTCCTCATTCTCTTTACAATTGGTTGCAAGTTTTCTGATTTATTTAACATTTCCTTACGTTACCACGTAATGCCTTTTAGTATTTTACCGATATCCAAGCCAAAGAATGTTGACAAAGCAAAGCAATATCTGACATTTTAAAAATCTTGGAATTTCGTATCGGCAAACATGTATCCATACAGATGGCGAGATGGCTTATAGAGCTCAAAAATTCCGTTAGCATTGAATATTGCAGCGAACATCACCGGTGACTTCCGACAGAACATTTCGTCGGATTAAGTATCTGATACTTAAAAATCCAAATATTGCAAAACAAACAAAAATATTTTGCTTAATGAATCGTACAATATAATTTTCGCATACTTTAACTAAATTTTAGCCAAATTTCGATTACATTTAAATAAACTATTTAACGTGATTTTTATTCGATGTAATTATTAATTGTGTCAATTTTTTGGAATATTTTTATAATTCTTTAAATTTATTATATATATAAATATATGCGTGACAGTACGATGTTCATCTTTATGCAAACGTAATTCCTAGAAGATATCCGAGCACAATTTATAAATGTCAATGAGAGATCTGCACTTTACTCTTTTTCTTACGTTGCAAAACTTAGTTAAAGTTTAAAAGCATTCAAATGTTACACGACTATCTAAAGCAGTCGCGCTTGTGACTTGAACAACTTTGACTAACTCAGTCGGATACCATTTCCTGAATTCATACATCTGAATGGTACAGTATAATAAATTGTATAATAAACCGTAGGTACAATATAATTCTATACGCAACACCACGCGCAATCTTCTCTTTCTCTTTCTTTACGTGCATACATATATTTATATGCAGGATTAGCAAGTAAACTGTTATTTGTAACACCGTTATCTGTTTTATAATAATTTTTTTCTATTTGTAATAATAACGATAACGAATTTAGTCGTTACTCTTATCTAATTCTTAGCTAATTCTTTATTATTTTTATATCTATTTAATAGATAGTACTAACTTTAAGTGTGTAAATAGAAATATTTTATTTAAATAGAAATTTAAATATTGAAAAATATTCCATATTTTATATTTTAAGCTGCAATAAAAGTCTATAGTATTTGTATAGGTAACATGAACTATAAATTTTCAATACTCGTTTATCGGAATGTGCTCTTAATAACAATATTGATACTTAACAACAACATTTATTAAAAATTTTTAATAAAATTTGCGTTTGTGAATTAGAATCTAAATTGCTATGAAAGACGCTAAAAAATGAGAGCTTTGTTTTAGCGTTTTGTAAGTATTGCTGAGCAGCGTTCTTGATCCTAAGTATAAGTACTCATATTATAATAGTAAAATTGCATCGATAAAATCCGTTTCTTTATTTATATAACATAAACAATAAAATACAAAATTATATCGAAATTATTCCCTCGTTTGGAACCGTGTATATACTTACCGTTATATCGAGTATTTGGCATGTAGGCGTACACAATGTCAGTCCTGTTGAAAAGCGTCAGGAAGAAATGATATTTGCCCAGGGCAATGGAGCGAGGTGCGGTGGTGCCTTCTATGATCCGGGAGCATTTTGTCGAATCCGTACTGGTTACTGCTGCGAGCAGCAATAAAATGCCGTGGTACACAATTCTGGTATTATACATCGCCTGAAAATAGGGAAAATAACATAACAATACCTCATTTTCATTCGACAACGATTTCGAGTGTTGCTTCATGTGATAATACGGATTAAAATCAAACATTTCCACAATCACGGTCGATACTGACACGAACCCATACAATTTGCACGATTGAAAAAGAACATTTAAAACATTCTATATATATATATTTCCTTGTATTTCTGAAAAGTGCTCGTGTTTTCGTTCAAATAATATCGAATATCGATGAATTTGATGAATTGCTGCTGTTCTCCTTTGTGCTCGCGTTATAATAATGTTAGTTGTATGTTGAATACACGCGGAATTTACGTTACAATTTACATCAAAGATCCAAAACATGAAACGACTGGGAATAGATAAAATTAAAATGCAAATTGGTTTCAGGAGAACAACTGGTGATTCTTGATCCCTCTCACGTTTGAAGGTACACGTTGCATATCTTCACGTTCTTAGTTTATTCCCCTATTATGCGTTTCGATTAAAATTTAAATAAAGAAAAAAATATTCGGGCGTTCCGACGCACAGCGTACGAATTTAACGTTTTGCGATTTAATTGCGAGTTGAGCTTACGCTACTGTCGAGATGATTGACACAACATGATAGAGACGCAGTGACTTCCTCTCTTTTTTAGAAATATTTTGATTTTAAAATATTGAAATACAGGTCAAAGATAATTACTAGTTAGAATAAAATACTAAAATTAATCATTAAACCAATCTAGTGTTTTATTTATAAATATCAAAAATTATTTATTTATTTTTATTACATGTCTTTGAAAAAAGTCATAGCCAAAGAAATAATTTTATTCACAGATTCAAATTGAAAAATTAGACAATTAGTCTTCGATCTTGGAGTTGTTTGCCCTTTTATTGTTATAGATTTTGAAAATTTATAAGACATAAGCTCCAACATGGAAGACTGATCGTCTGAATTTTTAATTTGATTTTACGTACAAAATTATCTTGTTTTGAATATGACTTTTGGGAAGCATGTAATATAGATTTTTTGGAAAGTTATAACGATAAAAAAATAAAGAACATCTAGATATTGAAGACTGATTATATCAGTTCTCCATTTGATTCTGTAAAAAATAAAAAATGCTTCATTCAAGACAATTTAATCTTTAAATTAAACATCATTCTTTTGACATCAAAAAGTTAGTTTATTCAATTTCTTGTGCGTTTAAAGAAGAAAATTATTCAGAAGCGGTTAATCGAGGAACTGAAAATTTGAAAGCTATATAGGAATTGATCATTCCGCGCGCGTGAGCTTAAATTTACGAACTAAATCGATTCATTCCGAGATTCATTCTAACTGCAACAGCAAGCGATCGTGACTGCAAGAATTTGCGAACATGCACGTGAGTACCGCGGGCTAGAGCGATGCCAACACGTGAGACAATTGCCCTCACATCGCAGTGACCATGTGTTCGGTAACAAAGCTCTGCTGAAAATGCATCGACACTGAGTCACTCGGCAATCTTGGCAAAATCTTGGCGCCGAAACGGGTAGAGCCGTTTGCGCTTTTCCCGGTTCATTGAACGGGCACACATTCGAAACATCTAATGTGTGGTAGTAAATGGATATAAAATATCGCTGAAGCAGACGAACAATTTAAGCGTCAATTCTTTTTCATTTCTAATTATGAGTTATTTATAAATAGAATACAATTAAAATGTTTATGTGAAAAATGTTAAAAACTTACATTAAAGATATTATAATAAGAATATTCAGATTAAAATGATAATAATATGAACATCAAATCAAGATATAAAAGATATATCAATTAATAATGTATAAATACTATTAATAAATTTTAATAAATAATGCAAGAAAGATATAAATTAAAATTTATTATTTGTTTAAAAAATAATTATATATGTATAAGTAATATAGAATATATAATATGAAATATTTAATCTTTTTTATTAATATCGTTAAAATAATTATCGTAAAGTGGAAGCAAAGAGAAAGAAATAGGTACATTTAAATTTATAAATATTCAATAGGTTTGTTCAAACCGTTAATTTTTTTTATAAATAAATATGTACTTTAATCAATGATTAAAGAATATTTACTATCTAATATTTTTCAATATATAGAACGGTAAATGACTAATTACATTGCATTGTAATCCAAATAATTGAAACGTGCAAATTTCATAAAGTTTCATAATCATTGCGATCTAATGAACAAAAATTGATGCTTGCTGAAAGTTACCGCATATCTGAATTATAAAAAAAGTATATAATACATGTATACATAGAAAGAGATGATCGATGGATGGAAAGAGGAGGTATATATGTATAATGAGATATGTTATGCATTAAATGTAGGTATTTAATTTAAAAAATTCTAGAGCATAATTTTTTATTAACATTTTTACTAATATAATTTTATATAAATATGAAATTTTAATGATCAGAACTTCACGACCTCTGAAAGAGAATACGGTTGATAATCTTATACTATAAGTACATCCATTGAATCTTACGCCTCGTAATGTACTTCACTGTTCGTATCGATACGCGAAACGGAAAACACGGTACTTGGACGCTGTGCGACATGTTGATCCACGAACATCACTAGTTTCTAATAAGCTGGTTAACCATAAATCCCAAGCACCTAAATATATTGTGCCAAGCCGGTGTATATAGGGCATGGCATTTCACTCTGCCTGGCGTTCTGCCATGTTCGTTCCCTCGGCCGTGGAACACCAACAGGAACTCAAACAATATCTACCAAGAGACCCGATCGCGGTTATGGTTTTCCTGCAGTCGTTGCATTTGCATTGCCAAAATTATATTGTTATTATGCATATTTGATTTGTTTACGAGAGATTCAAATAACAACTTGAGAATAAACGGAATTACTGAAAATATATAGTAGAGAGAATATAGATATGATAGATAATAGAGAAATGATTTTATATGTCTGATTGCATACATAATATTGAGAGAAAAGACTGTACAGATCTCAAAAATCATAAATCTATAGATTTATAAATTTATCTAGTAATATGAAATAATCGGATTCTTCGATTAAATGGATGAATGAAATTACTGATATAATTAATAATAGATATTCACTGTTTAAAACAATATTCTGGCAATTATTAAATAATCGTATCTATCAACAAATTTTAATAAACATTTAATAAAATTTATTAATACAATATAAATCTTGTTTTTTATTTATAAACGTATTAAGAGAATTATATTATTAACGATTGAAAAAGTAATTGCGAAATAATAATTATTATACATTTAACAAAAACTAGGTAAGTTCGTTATATTGACGAATGTGCGCAATTATTAATTAATTCCATATATAGTTAAGCTGTTAAGCCCTTCATTAGTGAATAGTGTATCACAGAATCGCTACCGAAACAAATAAAATTTTAGGTGAATAGTAAATTAATACCTCCCGTTTTGTTAATTGATGATGTTGTTATTTCATATCAGTTAATACCCGAATAATCGATTTGTGGAGCAACATCATAATTTCAACGCACTTCTAACTCGATAAAAAACGTTTCTAGATAATAATTAATGCGGCAATTAAACGGTTAAACGTATGATTTTATATTTAGAACCATTTTTCTTATTTCTGATATATTTATTTTACTTTATCATTTATATAAAAGCGTAATTCTATTAAGACTTTATGTATTAATATTCGACTTCTCAGAATTGAAGCTCAATTCCAAAAGTCGTTATCAAATTAAATGATGTCACTGGATAAATAAACAGCAAAGTCATACGAGGGATAACGGAACGAAGGATGCTGAGACTTACAGAGACTCATATCAAGGAAAGTGTAACTCTGGCAACGGATTGCCAGCTAGCGACGTCAATATGTCGGGATCTAGGACTTTAAAAGAAAAACGAGAGACGTGATGAACGGAGCGAGGACCTCATCGGCGATATTACGACGATCAAAGCTACGGAATGAAGTGCTTAGAGTAGGTAGAGAGGCGTATATTCATATCTTCGTCAAATAGAAGACTTGATATTTAACGACGTAGACACTCGATCTATAATAATTTTCGTCAAAATAACCATCACGACATATGTTATATCGTGTCGTCATCGGAGCATTTCTTGCTTCTTTTCTATCTTTGTCTCCTCCTTTCTTTTATTTACTTAAATGGATCTTCTCGGAAAATCGCGATCCGGAGATTTTATATCGTTGTAAAACACGTTCTACTTTACTGTATGCTTTCCGAAGGAAATTGCGTTCCTGACATTACTGCTTGACAGGATATTTTTCCAATATGCGACCGTTATATATCATACTTCATGAAATCATACGCTTTGGACATGAATTAACCTTTTTCAGATTTTTCAGTTTAAAAAAGAATTAACTATAATAGTTGTATGAAGTACTCTTTGTATAAAACTACATCAAAAAGATAATTTTTCCTTGCTTTGTGATATTTTCTGTTCTATTATATAATTCATCTCTAAAAAATTTCGTTTGAAAAAGAAAAATGCATACCAAGTACCCAAAAAAGTATTGAATATTACAAATAATAAATAATAATACTAACGACGCTCTCGTTTATTTAATATGTTATCTTATTTAGATCTATCGAGATAAGAAGAATTTGTTATCACAAATATGTTCGTTTCTCGTGAATATTATATATTTTGTGAAAAATACTTTCTTCTAAAATGAAATAGATGCAACGTCAAATTGCTTTCTATCACTTTGGATCTGTCAATTCAGAAGTGGCTTCATTTGAAAGGATAAAACTTCTACATATCCATTACTGTTTTCATCTCGCTAAAGAGGATTCGAAAAAGAGTCGAAATATACGATTTTTTTCGTTATTTTTTAATATTGATATAATAAAGTAAAAGCATTAGTGCTCGCGCAATAATTATAGCGTTATTACTCTCATATACTCTAATTTCATATTTGATTACATTTTTAAAATTAAAAACGTTAATCGTCCTAATGAATAGATTAAATATAATTATTCAAAAATTAACTATTCAAAAAACGAGTATAAAATCAATACAATTAGCCAAGTACCTCATTATTAAAAAAGACCTCGAAAAAGTTTATCCTAAAAAAATTTATTAATTTTAAGACACATGAAACGGACTGAAGTGACTAAAGCAATCAAGTGGATTATTCACTATCGTATAATTGGATTTATGTAATCAATGATTCCATTAAACTTCAAATAGATTTTTTAACGAATTTCTTTCGATCAAGTTATTTTTGGTATTTTGATATTTTTGCGTGCTTCAAAAAGTCAATATAAATGCACATTAAACAGCATACTTTTATGAATGCCTGTCTCACCCAGGTGTTGTTCGCTTCTCATACAACGCGGGAGAATGTAAAAAAAACTCTCACTGAACGATGATAAAAGCTAGCGTTTTTTTTTTTTGTCAATCTACATCACCAACATCGAGCGTGTAAAGGTCTATAAAAAATTTAGGGTATCCAGCTGTTCGGCAAGCGTTTCCGGATGAAGCATTGATTTTCTGCTTGAAATAGTCGCGACCGAGATAAATGCCGTCATTGGTGCTATTTCGGCTCATCGAGATATTCAGCGTGCATCGATGAACGACCGAGCCGCAACGTAAACTCTCACATTGCCAGTACTGAATAAATAAAAATACAATAAAAATTCTGAAGTGTACATAAAAAGAAAGAACACACACTGCTCGCTGAATAATTTATTTCATTAGCGGCTATTAGGTCGAAACGGTTGAATAGTTACTTAATTACCGCCGTATCGATTTGAACTGTTGCTCCATTAACGCTTGTCAAATTATACTTTAACGGCTGCGTTCGAGAAGCGCGCTATCAACGCTATTGTCTTATATTCTAAGTTTAAAACGTCCATTAGACGTACAACAAGGATAGAATAATAATGTAACAGCGCTAATAGCGTGCTCTTCGAAACGCAGCCAATAAATCGTTATAAGTTGAATATTTTTATATGTTGTATTAATCAGTTATATTATTAAATATAATATATCTTTACGTTAAAATTTTGAATATTCGATGTGCGATGTCTGCCATTAATATATGACATTATTTCATTCTCTCTAAATTTTTTAAACTCTCTAGTTCACTAAAACTCTCAATCTTTTTGAAGTTCGACACAATTTAAATTCAGAGAATTTAGCAATTTACGATCAATTATATAATTTTATCTACTTTGTTTTTAATCCTAGAATATTATTGATATATAAATTTCACATACAAATGAGCGATATTATTAAGCGCTAAGCTTCAACAGAATCGTTAAAATGAAGTTCAATCTGCCATGCTAAAAGCTAGGCTTTTAAAAATTCTGTACAACACATATCAGTTTGGTTGGACGTTCCAATGGTCAGTACAGTCATAACAGAAAGAGTGATAAGTGATTTCAATTTGCAGTTTTGTGTTATATATTTTATTTAGGTGTTATGAAGAGATACATACGCACACAAAATTGGATTACATATTCTACACGAAAAAAAAATTTTGTTATATTACTTGAAAGTATAGCCTACTTCTTTATATACGTATGTATCGTTAGTAATACTGTATCATTCAGTAGTTCAATTTTACAGTTAATAACGATTATATTATATTAAAGATTACCACTGAAAAATGGCGCTAAAATGTGTGAATGTCGATTGAATAATGTCTCAATATCTTCCAGCGATTCGCGGGAACTGTAAATTTTTGACCGATCGACCTGCAAGAAAAGTTCAGCACAACACGTATTCCCGGCGGCATTCGTAAAAAGTGAAAGTGCACTTCTACAGCCGTCATTGGCACAGAAATCACCGCGATTCGATCGTTTTTTATCCGACTTATCCATGTTGCGCCGCGGATGTAACCCCTGCGCACCTCTCAGTCACCCTTTTCCGCTTCCCGCTATTCTTATCTGTTCCTACGAAGCAGTCTGGCAATACGTTCGAATAATGTGCCTAGTCGTGCATAAGGGAAGCACTCTGCACGCTTGACTAGTCAACGAGCCGATCGAGCAGAAGCGCCAACGAATATTTCAATCGGGACGTGCAATTACACTTTACCATTAAACGTCCGTCACAAAATGTAATCAAACGCGTTACAATTGTTACAATTTAAACGCTTGACACGTGCACTTTCATACATTTTCATTCAGCTTATTATTTTAGAACATTTTGTTGAGTTTTCATTTCACAAATATACGTACGCATTGCCGGACTTTGTTTTTGGTGTCTCTACCTTTCGATACACGTTGCAATAAAACGTACGTTACTCGAATTTTATTTGGTAAAGCTGTAGACGACTAAACCAGCGTTTGTTTCAACAAAGGATAAAACGTACACCACACACAAGCAATTACACGAGAAAATACACAAAGGTTGACTCGAAATGCCCAGCAGCGTGTCCTGTCATTCATTAAAAGAATGCAGTTGCATCTCGTGCTAAGTATGTCTGTGCGCATTTATCTCTACATATATATTTTTTATTCTTTATTTTCTTTCCTCTTTCGAGATAACATCTTCAGAAACGCGTCACAAAATTGTATCCTTCAAAGATTCTCTCGTTATGGGTACAATCGAAGATACTCGAGTGAATACTTACCATAATTGTCGTTCGCAAGCACAGCTTACGTAAAATTGTGTTTCCGCCCTTAGCGCGAGTCACGTGCGTTCTCCAACGCGGCAGGGAAACACACCCGTAACACGTCCGCCACCGTCGCAGACCTCCGGCTGACTGACTGACAGCCGTCTGACCGGGCTGTTACTACTTCAGCCGGCCGGGCGTGCGCAGCGCGCTACGTACTTAGTTTTCTCCAATTCATTTCTTCTCGCGACGATCTTAGACGCGTTCATATTTTTAATTATTTTCATAATCACTGGAAGCAATTTACGAATTTTTTTCTCAATACATGACGTAATAGAAAAGAAGCGTTATCATAAAATAGGTGCGTTCGGCAATGTAAATCTGAGATGCGAGCTAGCAGACGGTGAGTTTGATCACGTGACCTTTGAGTAAACCGAGTGCCGAAAATTAATTTTGAACGATACAGAGCTGTATAGTGTCATTGGGAGCATTCAGCGGACTCAACAGTTGAATGAACGCTCGCTATTATTCGTATATTTTTCTAGATCTAAAATTCTGATTGGACGATCTAAAAGAATACACCAATAACAGTGAGCGCTCATTCAACTGTTGAGTCCGCTGAACGCACCCATTTAAGGTCATGGTAAATGTTAAGAAGATCCCGGCCGCCTCAAATTTTGATAAAAATGCACTCAATCGATGCGTTTTCACATAAAAATAAAAATTTGACAAGAAAAAAAAAGCATCGCTTTACCCTGTGAACTAAATAATCCATTAAAGTCGATAACAATTCAGATTAGGAAATCTGTCACAGCAGTGATTCATTGTTTTCAAAACATAAACTCAATGTTTTAACAAAGTATTTATTTTTAATGCAGACAATTTAGGCGCGAGATCTTGCATTAGCTCTATGAACTCGGTCTTTAAATCCGAACTCGATTAGCTCTAGAAATGTTAATACCGAACGTAAATGAGATGACATGTAACAGAAAGATACGAGTTGCCGAACAATTTCCGAGGTGAAAGAGCAAACGGATGCCTCCGATTTGCAATGTCAAACGTACTTGTAATATATCATAAAAAGATTGTTTAAGTATAGTAAATATATACGTGTATTTCGTTCTCTCTTCTTATGAATACGACTTGAAAATTTATTGTAACATATACTTAGTAAATTTTTTTACAATAAAATGATCTGTTTTTTTTTTAAACAAATTTTTAAATCTAACAATGAACATTAATTAGTTTCTTTATTAATATGTATATCGAAATTCTCATCGAAGTTTGATTGATGTATGACTTATGATAATTTTTAAAAAAAAGTTTGTCAATAATTTAAAAATTATTTCAAAGTATTTTACCTAAAAAATATAATATTTATTGGACATATTTCTGATAATAAATATGTAGATCCGTGATAATAAATAAGTGGATGTATATTTTCTGTGGATATAAATTTATAAATAAATACGGAACGCGTAGATCAATTCTGTAATAAGACAAAAAGAGGATAGAGGCTTCCATGCTCGCTTCTCTCGTGACACGCAGTGATTAACATCACTGCAGCTATATGGCAATTGCAATGGTAACTTTAGAATTTTCAATTTCAAACATTCTTGTTCGTGAATATTTTCATCTAACCAGAAAAAAAAACGACGATTGTAGAAAAATTTTGTAAAATTAATTATTTACAGTTTTTAATAGATTGAACATTATTAAGATCGATATAAGATATGTAAACAGCATTATACTATATAAATTTGCACACAATTATTTAGAAGTACCCGTGATCCAGTTTAGACTGCTGTAGCATTGTCTCATTCGGTTTAAAACTGAAAAATAGTAATTAATTATTTATTTCAAGTATAATTAGAAACACTGTCGTTCAATACTTTTACTTACTCAAAAACTAACTTTTTGTATTAAATTGGCCAGTATTAAATCGAATTTCTGTAAAAATCAGTTTTCATCTCTCGAAGTACTTTTGAAGCGCTCAATCACTTTTTTAATAATTCTTCGAACATTTCCCAAACGTTTGACAACTTCATCGATAACTCAAAACGTATAAAGTTATTACCAATTGCAGATTATGAAACGTATCGCAAATTTGTTTTTAAAATGTGTACTGCGATACGTAGAAAAAACTAAATTAAACTAATTAACTTGACCTTGTCCACTGATGAATTGCTTTATTTGTTTGAGCATAACGAAACTCTTGTTTCAGTTTTGAGTAATTAAAGTGGCGCCGCTTGTCCATCATAATTCAACCGATTGTATGAATGTGTGTTTTTCAGGAAGTTCCGAGAAACGATTAATAAATGCGCGTGCACGATTAATAAATGCGCACGCAAAAAACATGATTCATTCATCGTTGATATCGTTTTACTTTCCGATAAACATTCATATCACGTCAATGAATTCAGTAAAAAGATCGGTTTCCCGTTTATTCTCATTTAATTTCCAGTTTTATTTAATTTTTATTTTTTATTGCAAGGAGAAAATTAAATTCTCCAGCTTTTGTCGCTGACATTACTCGTATTCTTTAATTATCTAGATTTTTTAAAATATTGTGTGTTTGTGAACTAGTGAAATGGGAAAAAGGTAATTTAATATAAAAAATTAAGCCGAAAACAAAATAAATAGAATATAGAATAACATTTTTTCATACATGGTTTTATTAATTTTAGTATATAAATTGATTTTAATTATACATATATATATGTCACACGCGCACGCACACACGCACGCACGCACGCGCACACACACACACATACACACACAAACACATACACACGCACACGTACAAATTTAATTAATAAATTAAAACACCAGAACATGTTAGAAAGCATTTATAGGAATTTACATAGGAGAGCAGAATTGAGTATTTGACAGAATAATTATATTTATAAAGTTGTGTAATATAAATTCATATTTATAAAGTAATTAAATTTATCATGCATAAATATTCTGTTTTTATCGTTACTTCATTAATCGGTATATTAACAAACACGACATGAGCAGAAATAATAATCTACAATGAAATTTATTAAGTTGAGACATTAATGTGCACATGTATCTTACGAATATTTAAAATCGAATATTTAAAATTGATTTTTATGGAAACAAATTTCATATAAAAAAAATTTATTGTTATTTTATTTTATTATCTTATATTCATACGTTTTCGATTTATTTTTATGCAGAATTATCGCTTGCCGATATCATCAATTTACAAACACCATGTATCATCTATACAATAAAATCCATTTTTATAAACCCTTTGCATTTTAATTTAAAAAGTATTTCAAGAATATTTTATAAATATTTAATTAATAAAATTGATATGTACTGTGAAAACGTTTTTAATCGATTTTTAGTCGCAATCATATATTTGATCATCAAAGTATTACGTTGCATAGATTTATGTCCAACGTAAAATTAATCGCGATTTCGAAACACCTCGAAATCGTCGACTGTCTCACGTGAACCAATGTTAATGCTCGGTCATCTCGCTGTCCAACCAACAAGACTACGAAATTAAAACTCTTCTCGAAGAATCCCTTTCGAAAGTTTCGCAGATCTATTCGCAAATCAAACTGTCACCGATCGTGCTATATTACTTGAAAAGAAGTTAGGATAATGCTGAGCGAAGCAGCCGCGATAAATTCTTCAGGTTGTTTCGCATCAAAACTCTTGATACACAAAATTGCGGTTTTTGTATTTTTGTCATTGCACATTTATAAATTACATATTTACAAATTGTAACGTAAAATGGAAAAATTGTAATACTTAACAACGGCAGCAATATTGTTACGAATTTAAAAACTTCTTGTTAATGCATTGATAGATTCGATGCTGTATCTTTTTATTTTTACTGTCTTCCAGAACAAAAAGTATTATAGTAAAATAATTATAATTAATTAATTTTGAGAAAAATGTACTGTATAAAATTAAATATAGTCTTAATTAAAAGTTGTTCTATATAAAATGATTTAAAATTACAAATAATCATATTAAAATATTATTGTATTAAAATATTGTAGGTTATCAAAATACTGTCAAGGCGCAATTCGGAATGCACTCTCCACATTGCATTTACAGATATATTCTCTTTATACGTATATCTTCTTAAACCGACGACACATTATGACTTTTTTCCTACTTGATTTCCAACTGAATTTACGTTTGGTATGGTATTGACTGCAGTGCTGGCATTGCTAATACCACAGCCAATATGGTAGCAAAACGCAAATCCAGCTAAAAGTCCAGCAGGAAAAAAAGCATCGTGTGCCGTTGCTTTAAAATTCTTGCATTTGAAGTATAAAGAATATATCTTCGTGTTATGGAGGGAAAAAATATTTCAAAAATTGTAAAATACAGCTAAAAGTGTAAATTGTACAATATATTTACTGTATTATCATAGTAATTGTTTTAGTAAAGAAGAGCGCACATTTATTTATGTTCTCGTATTCTTACAGAAAAAGCGGAAGATCTGTTGTCAAATACTTCCAAAAAATCAACTACGTTGAGTACTGGAAATAAAATCAAGAGTAGAATTCCAACAACCCATTTCGGACGAAATGGCATGCAAGTACGTTAATTATTTGGCACAATACATTGCCAAATAGCTTTGTATGTAATACTAAAAGATTATAGATATATCTAGAGCCTTCCACCTAATCTAAACGCGTCTAAATGTTAATATTCGCAATAATTAATCTTAATTGAAAATAATTATTTGGGATAATTTATAAATCATCTTTAATATATTTTTGTTCATTGTTTGTCAAAAACATGCAATCTCTTTACAGGGCGACTCGGCGAGTCATCCAACAAACGAGGAGACTTCCAGCGGGATTAGCTCCAACAACAATTCCGCTCGTCGACCGAGCATGAAGACCCTGAGTGCGCTGCCGTCTAAAAAGCCAACGAACGCGGTTCCCGCGGAAAAACGTCACTTGGAAATACAATATAGTTCAAAAAGAACACGATACACGAATCTGAAAAAGACGCTTCTTGATAAGCAAGTAATTATCGGACGACAATGATTTAAAAGCACTTTCTTATATATATAGTTACACAATTATAACTATAGTACAGAAATTGTTATAGGAATCCTTTC